ACTCCAGCTGGCGGCCTAACCTTGCGACCTGCCGTCGCCACAGCATGCAACCAAATCTGTCGGCAAAGCAAAGCCGTTTCACGATCAACCTTCGACCGTTGTGCTGCTGACAAATCTGGAAGGCCATATAAGTCCAATGGCCCGCGCACAGGTGGGACAACGCTACTCCCATGAGCATGTGTGTCAAACGTACCACGCGGTGGAGCACCAAGAAGATGCGACACTTTGCCATGCACGGCACCCCAAACTAGAGCGCGCCAAGCAGGAGTGCGTAGCACATCTTGGTCTGAGCCTCTGGTAATGTCCAATTCCAGGACAGCCACATTCTTGGACTCAAGGTGCGAAAAGGGTTTAGGGCCTGGGGCTCCAGCGTACAGATGAACAATCCACTCTGGGGCATTGAGCAATGCACGACGGCGACGCCGATTGAGATGCGTCAAACCCTTTAGGAGCTCCCATCCTGAAACCTGAGCAACATCCTCAACAAGTCCCTGCAAAGCTGCTTGGGGAACATCTGCCAAGAAAGGCGCGGCCTGCAACGCTAGTTGGGCTGAATTGGTAGATCCAAGGCTCACATAGTCCTGCATGTGATCCCACCAGCTCTTTGACATCAAGGCTTTGACAGCTCGGATGCGAGAGGTACCTTCGGCCACATTCGCCTCCAGAGACTTCAAGTCCTCTAGCCGCTTTTCTTCTAGCTTGCTGATTAGCACCAAGGCTTCTGATTCCATGATCTCTGGACACCCACCTTTAACCCTCAAGCGAAAGGCACGACCCGAAGGAGCAATCAAACGGCATCGCGAGGCAGTCCAATCCAAACGATACCCCAGCTGCTGGATGACAGAACCCAGCGGCACGATGGTTTGGGCACTGGATGTGGGAGGCAACAGAAGAGTACCAGCAGCAGACAAACGCATAGCCGAAGTCTCCTTTCCAGCCAGTGACACGACAACGGGTTGCGCACTAGCCCATTCAGCTTCGGAACTTGCAGCGCGAAGGGCATGAGTGGCCCCACTGTCTACCAAAGCCAAAAAACTAGGACTACCATCTACTTCCAAAACCTGCCCAGGCTCAATGGCTGTGAGATGGATGGTCTTAATGCTCGGCTTAGGCTCCTCCTGCGCTGCAGGTTTGTCTTCAATCGCCGGAGGCTGCGCGGGAGCGGCTGGGGTGGATGCAGGAGGAAAGGCTTCGGAAGAACTGGCAGCTGCAAACATCATGCGCATAAACGCTGTGAAGTCCTCCGCTCGGCCTGGGCTCGCGCCCGGCTGGATTGCAGTAGACGCCTGATCAGCCGTTGTAGGCCTGTGGCCTGCAGCATTGTTGGTGTCTCCTCCACCTGGCTGTCCTTTCCCCTTTGGGCTTCCTCCAGCTACCGGGCAGTCCTTTTGGCGGTGTGCCTCAGAGCCACATGCTAAGCACTTTTTGCTGCGCTCCTGACGAGAAAGTCCTGACATGTCGTGGCTAAACGTGCACTTAGGACCCCGCCTACACCCCGAAGTACCCATGAAAAACTTGCAGGGCTTTGAAGCCTGCGGCTGCCCACTGGCCTTTGGAGATGTTCCCGGACTGGGCGTGCCTACAGCTCGAACCTTAGGGGCACTCACACCTGTGGCCTTAGAGACTGCAAGGGCTTCCATCTCTGCAAGCAAGTGCTTGTGGTACTCCAGGACTGCAGACGAAGTTGGTTGAGCATCCATTTTTAACATGGAACGAAGCATAAACGTTCGAAACTTCGCTTCTTCATGCTGCGCCAAAACTTGGCTAGTGATGGTAGTGAGGCTCTTGGACAAAATGGTCGAGTCCGGAGGTGACATGTTGCAACTTTCACAGCGATTGTACCAACGAATCCACTCACGCAAAGACTTCACGGCTGAGGAGGGATCAGATGCTGGAGTAGGCTGCATGAGATTCTTCTGAATAACCTCCTTTTCTGAACCTCCACCTGGTTGGTACGTGGTGTGCAAACGGAAAAGGATGGAAGGAGCTGATTGATTGCATTTGCGGGCCACAATGTCTGCTTTGATAGACTCGGGGACTGCCGCCATAAGCATACTACAGATCCTAAAGTTGACACGCGCCCATCGCCCTTGAAGCAACTCAGCCGGTACAACGGGCTCAACCTTTAGCCTATCCAAGGGTGATGACGAAATCCAAACCCCATAGGCCGTATCAACCACACCCAAAACCTGACGCCACCACTCTGCTGCTGTGTCCGAAACATCACCGACCAAACCCCCAATCACAACTAACCAATCTTGGTACAGAAGAGACCCTTCATCCGAAGTGAGCTCTGCCAAAGCTGGGAAACTCGAGATGCCTGGCTTAACAGCTTCAGGGTTGGTGGGAGAATTGCCGCCATCGCGTTCGGCACGAGATCCCTTGAGCATCTCTGACATGGCATCTTGAAGTTGATGCATCCCAGCAATCAGTATCTCACGATCTGTGGGTCCTGATGCACTCGCGGCTCCTGCTGGCAGTGTGCCTCTGGGTTCTGCTTGTGGCCTCTGCGGTGCAGGGCTGGAAGACCGCGCACCGGAACCAAGGAGCCCTGAGAACAAACCAGCGAAGCCCTGAGGCTCGGGAGCGGAAGGAGGCGGAGGAGGAGGCGGTGAGGATGAAGAAGGGGCAAATCCAACCCCAGTGTTGGCGACAGGATGCGAACCGAACCCACTATCACCAAACCCACTAAAGCCAACCTCCCTAGTACCCACCTGCTGCAACGCCGTAGCCTCAACTTCACCAGCCTGCTGAGACCGAATCCTCGAGAGTTCGGCCTCAGCACGACCAGCTCTCTCTTGCTCAGCTCGCAGTTGCTGCTTCAACCCATCAAGCTGTCGCGCGACTTCTGCCTGAATCGCATCATGCGGAATAGATGAGGACTCGGTGTGCGGAGGCCTGTCCGGAGACCCGGACCCGTAGAGCAAGGGAGCTCTTTGCTCCATGGCAGCAAGCTGCTGCGCGTTGGCACCAGTGAACAACGGCATCGGCACTTGACACTCATCTTGCAGGACGCGGCCTCCTCTCTCGAGGGGCTGTAGTGGTCGCGACGGCCTTGGAGGAGAAGTCAGTGGACTGGGAGCCCACCCTTGCGGCAGTGGCTGTACGTTCGCCGCGCCACCAAACAGAGACTGCACTCTTCCTAGCAACTGACTAGCAAAAGCCTGAGCCCCAGTCTGCATGACCGCTGACGCCCCGTACGCCGTTGATCTGGGCGTTTCAAAGCCCTCAGCACTACTTCCAGGATTCGCTGCAGATGGGTTGTACCCTGAGACGCCTGCGGCAACATTGATCTGAGCGCTAGCCATTCCACTTTCGGTGGCCACACTGAAACCCTGAGTCACTGCAGTTGCATCTCCATGCACCCCACTCGCATCAGCGACCTCCGTGGTAGATACTGCTTCATACGTAACGCCAGCTGTGCCCAAGCCTCCAACCTGGCCTAGTGTTCCATCGCCTCCTGTCCTACCGACTGCTGAAACTCTCGGTTGGCCGGCTGTTCCAACAGTTTCTTGTGGCAGCTGAGGGGATGGCACTGGACCAGCTGTGGAAGTCGATGGCCCCGACGACGCATCCATCATAGTTTGCTGGATTCCATCCCCAATAGGCTGCGCAAGCCCAGAGGGCGCTGGCACTCCAACTCCGGCGGTTGTACCATTCACTGTAGTCTGCGGTGCATCCCCGCCTCCCCGCACTCCATGCAGAGAGGCCGGAGAAGCCACCGCTCCGGTTGCTTCTGGCCCAGGCGTTGGGCTCATCACCTGTTGAAGGTGTTCACCCTGGGTGGCCATACTCTGCAGCGAAGCTCACGCAGAATGTTTTCTATGGCTGGGCGCAGAGGCGACTCACGATCTCAACGAAGCAACAAGAGAACCGACAAACCAACAAACGACCTGTACAGCTTTACAAGTTGTTGGTTACAGTACACATGGCTCAAGAGGCTTTCCTACGCAGCCTTCCCCTAAGCCAAAGGATACAGGAAACACACATGTACAAGCCTACCTGAAGGAAACTATACAAGTGCCGGCAATCCCTTCAAGCAGACTACACACCTGTCTAACCTGATACCTGGGCATGCAGTGAGAAGCATTTCAACAGTTTAGCTTAAGCTTTTGAGTGTTGGGTTTACGGTTACAAGGTATAACGCTTCGAGTCGACAAGGGCTTAGGGAGGATTTGCGGTGTATGTTCTGCTTTAGGCTTAGAGCCTGCAGTTAGGTGGGGTTTAGGGTTGAGGTGTAGGGTTGGAAGTACAACTTAATGGTTACTCAAAACAAGGGCACGCGCTGCGTTGTAGGGTTTACGGCTTGCTTGCGAAGGGCTTGCGTGTGAGCCCTGGCCGCCAGCACCATCCCACCATCCAGTGGCAGCTCCAACGGCCCCGACCCATGTCCGCACACGCCAGCCCCCCACCCCCCCCCAATGGTATGGTCTGCTAGGGTGGGGGGGGGGAGGGGGGGGGGGCTGGGAACGCCAGACGCCTGACCATACATACACCTACATACACATACATATACATACATATACATACATATACATGCTTAAACATACATATGCATACATACATATATACTTATTATGTATATATATATATATATATATATATATATATATACATACATACATACATACATACAATTACATAGACATACATACACTTACATATACATACCGTTGCATACACATACGTATTTATGTACATGCATTTACATACATATACATATACTTCCTATACATGCATACATAGCTTAAGACAGGCATACATACATACGTACATAGATATATGCATGCATGTGCACACACATACAGAAATACATGCACATGCACACATGCATATATATATATATATATATACACACGCATGCATGTATGGATGCATGCATAATGCTTGCTGCGATCTGCAACACCAGCAGCCGTATATCCCAAATAAGGGGATCCACATGGATAACTTAAAGGGCACCTAGACCCGAATCTTTTCACCATGAACTTTTGACGTTGCGCCTTGCCACGGGCATTCACCTTCCCCGCAACGAGAGTTGACTTCACCTCTTTGGCGGCTTCCTCATGCCTTAGGGTTCTGTGTCGGTCTCTTTAAATGCCCTCTTTAAGGGCTGTTGGGCTTTCATGGGGACTTGCAGAGTTCAGGGTTGAGGGCTGGACTAAGGGCGCCATGAGGGCTCTATAATTAGGGCTCCTTACCCAAACCCTGAACCCGAAACACTGAAGACTGATGCCCCCTAAACCCTAAACCCCTACAACCCCAGACCCTAAACCCCAAACTCTAAACCCTGAACCCTAAACCCCAAACCCCAGAAGCCTAAACCCCTAAACCCTGAACCCTAAACCCTAAACCCCGAACCCCAAACCCCTAAACTTTAAACCGCTAAACCCTGAACCCTAAACCCCATACCCTACCCTAAACCACGAACTCGGCCGGAGAACAGCCGCGCCACCTCTTGCACCTCTCTGGAGACCTCCAGGCCTCGCAGCAACGTCGGGTTCGCTCACACTTGTGTGTCCCTTAGGGCTTAGGGCTTTAGGGTATAGGGCTTATAGGATTTAGAGGGCTTATAGGGTTTATAGGGTTTATAGGGCTTATAGGGTTTAGAGGGCTTATAGGGTTTATGATGTTTAGGGTTTGGGGTTTGGGGTTTTTCGGGTTTCAAGGCTTAGGGTTTAGATGGGTTGTAGGTTTCCCTGGATTACCTGTAGTCTCCCTTGTAGTTCTTTCTTGGGTTCCCTGAAAGGATCGTATACATATAAAATTGCGAAGCCAAAAGACGGCGCTACAATGGAGACAAAAGGTAGGGCTAGTATACGGTTTAGACGCTCAGGGTGGATTTGAGGGTTCAGGGCCTGCCACCTCTGCTGTAACGCTTTGTCCTGATAGTTGAATACTGTGTTTTATGTAATCCAAATACCCATGTTGACCATGTTGTAGGAGAGCAGTACAGTACTCGGACCCGCGTAAGGCTGCAAAAACGGTTCAGGGAAAATATTGCTTGACAGGTGGGATCCCCCCTATAATAACTATAGGGCTTAAGGTTATACGGACCTTCAACCCTAGCCTGATACCCAAAACCTTACGTTCCGGTCTTTACAACCTCATCTGAGGAGGTTCTTCCTGGTTTTAGCGGGGAACGAAGGAAGAAGAAGGGTTAGATGCAAGCGCTAGAGGCTACTAATACTATGCTACAGGTGCCATTCGTTGATTCGTTGCAAGCGCCAGAAGCCCAGGCAGCTAGGCCGTGGTTTTGTATCCGAATTTCGGCATCTCAAAGTCTCGGAGATTAGATTATTCTACGGTTCAGTGGTTTGCGGTTTCAGGCTCTATGTATATAAGCCCAATGAGACGCTACAAGAAATCGACAAAAGCCTATAAAGGCTTCATTGCACCCTTGCAGAAACCATGTAGAAGCCTCAGAACCCTTTCTTACTCCCCCCAATAAGCCACAGAAATAAAAGGTTAAACTTTCCGATTCCTACTAAACTGTAAGAGCCCAAAAAGTTTAAAGGTTAGGTATTGGGGATCTATGGTTCTGTATTGGGACTTGTAGAACCCAACCCTCAAACGAACCCAAAACAAGGACCACTGCAGAAACCTGTAATTATATGCAACCCTCCTGAACCCTACACCCTGTAAGTCGTAAAGTTTAGGGCTTGTAGGGTTTAGGATCCAGGGTTTCCGAGTTATCGAACACTAAATAACCCCTACTGTTGATGGACAAAATCCTGCATGACCCTAAGGACTCTAAACTATGGGAAGTATGGTATATTCCCTATAAGGGCAATGCAGGATTTATATCCCTAAACCCCAAAACCCTATAGATCCCTTAAAGGAACCCCTTAAAGGTACCCTTATAGATCCCTTTAAAGGGTTATAAACCATGCAGGATTTTGTCCATCAGCAGTATGAGCCCCGTCTCTCAACTCGGCGCCTCCTCTGCTGGCTGTCTTCCGGAGTGTTCCGGCAGCGCCAGCGGCAGCGGTGGCAAGCAGCGAAGCTTCGTAGCCTTTGCCCGCAAGGGCCTCGGTGTCGGGATAGCTTTTGCTGTGAAGCATTGAAGGATGGATTTAGCAGGGTTTTGTGGTGTTCCAGTTTGGGTCGTCCGTATTTGGGGTCTCTGATGGCTGCAGCGCGCGTGAGATTGAACCAGAGTGTCGGGTTTTGAACTGGGGGGTCTCTAACCTTCTGCTTGACCCACGTGACTTGGCTTGGGGGTTCTGGGATGGAGAGGCCTCGGGGTTCAAAGTATTCAGCCAATCTTCCTTGTTCACTGCAGGCCAACTTCAAGAACAACCCTAGAACGTATGCCATGCAACTGCATACACAGACTACTTGGAGGTTCATGGGTAGTTATATGTGGGTTATAAGTAGGGTAACTATACTTGTAACCCATATTGACGGACTTATAACCCTACTTATAGTTACCCTGGACCTCCAAGTAACCCGTCTTAAACTAAACCATTATCTGCATTGAAACACCAGCACCCTAGTCCCCAAAACCTCCTTACAAGTTCTTCAAACCGATCCGAGCATCGAGTTCGAGACCGTCCTTGATATTAAAAAATGAAGGAAGGTCCACATGATTCATTTGAAAGACCATTTCAAGCTTTTGGCCTCAAAGCCTTTGACTCTCAAAATCGAAGGCCAACCCCTAAATCCCTACCCACGAGAGCTTCACCCCTTTATGCCCTGAGCCTAAACCAAAACACTGCCCTTATTCTAGAAGCCCGTTACCGTTAAAGGCACCGTAAAACAAAACTACAGCATCTGTCGCGTGGCGGCTCTACGTGCGCCGGCCAGCGCCCGAAAGACGTCGACCGCTCCCTTCGGGCGAAACTTGGTGCATGTTCCCCCCCCCACTAAGGGTTTAGGGTTTAGGGTTTAGGGTTTAGAAACTTGGTGCATGATCCCCCCCTCTCTTTGAATGAAGGGTTTTTTATTATATGGGGTTTTGGACCTTGAGGTGGTAAAGACTAAGGTTTGGGACTATGGGGCCCGTCCACCCCCCTACTTGTCGGGTATCATGGGCAACTTATGGTTAACCGTTTGATTATATAGGGATTATATAGGGACTATACTACCCAAAAAAGGTTAAGGGTTCTACGAGGCCCCAAGCACCGTGAATCCTACATGGGTGGCTGTCAAAGTTATGGTCCCTTTTTGGGCCCTTATTTTAATACGGCACCCAATATCTAGGGTTCCCAACAAGGGACCCAATTTTGACAACCACCCAAATGTCAGAGTCGCACGATGGCGGCCAGTGAAAGCACAACCACGCTCGAGCCGAATCTACCCAGAGGCCCCATACCCTTATAGTAACCCTTACAGTAACCCTTATATAGATCCCTTTAAAGGGCCCCTAAATCTAATTATTTAGGCCCCTATGATGCCATCCTGCAAGTCGTTTGCCGTGGTACTTGATCATATAGGCCCACGGTTCCTTTTTGGGGTTCATATATGGAATCCTACAGGGTACTCCCAAAAAGGAACTACTATGGGGCTTATGGGTAGTTGCTGAGTTCATAAGCCCCCAAAAGTGTGCACTTTCAGCTTGAAAGTCGGTCAGATTATCCCAAAAGTGTAAGGTGTATCCACTCAACTACTAAGTAATACTGCACCAATACAGCGTGGCGAGGTAGATGAAGGACCCTTAGAATGTCGCCCATGGATTTGGAAGTCCGAGTGGGCCAACCACATACGCCCGTGGATTCTCTGTAATGTAGAACCCTCTCGAACCCTTATCGAACCTCCGCGGATTCCTCTTATATCATATAGCAACGATATAGCACCCTTACTCTGGGGATCAAAATGACCCAAAAGCCTTTTATAGTATGGTCTTTGGGCCCAAAAGCCTTAATCTATGAGTCCTTAGATAGGACCCTTAATAACCCTAAACCCCTAAACCCTAAACCCTAAACCCTATGTTATCTCAGCCCTGGGTTTGACGACAGCCTTGGCAACCGTCGGCGCTGTACTGGGTACTTCCGGTACCAAGATCGGGGCGCGCCTTCTTGATGCTTGGGGCTTATGGGGGTTTAGGGTTTAGGGTTTAGGGTCTAGGGTTTAGGGTTTAGGGTTTAGGGCTTCTTCTAAAGGGTGGTGAGCCAGTATGGTATATACTTTGGGCGGCCCAAATAACTACTAAGTACCTACTACTTGTACGATGGTACTTGGACCCTTGGGTGAAGTTTGGGGTTTATCTAGTTTAGGGTTTAAGAGGAGATTCGGGCCTACCACAACCGGCCATAACCTACTGTTCTGCAGGGACCTGATAATCAGAAAGCCCTAACACGGAATTTCAACCGAACCTACAAGCCGAAGTTGTGGTACAGTGGTACGGCTTCGGGGGGTTCCGGCATGTCCGGTGTCGGGCATTGACCTTTCCAGATATCGGGCATGGGTTTACGTTCCTTGGGTTAACTAATGGCTTTACTGGACCCTAAACCCTAAACCCTAAACCATAAACCCTAAAACCTAAACCCTAAACCCTAAACCTGTTCGTTGAGGGCCTTGGACTCAGGATCTGGATTCGAAGTTTTCGGTTTAAGGCTAAAGCTTCTGGGGCTTACCTGGCTTCTGCATTTTCAATTCTGGTTCTTCCAATCCATACACCAAGCCCTAAACCCTCCTGTAGACTTGAAACCCCTGAACCCTAAAGCCCTAAAGCGCCAAAAAACCCACAACCCCTGAACGCCATAACTGGGTTTGTCTTAAGAGATGTAATCTCAGTTACCATAGTAAAGAAACCATACTACCTACTACAAACCCTACTCCGGGAACTCCTTAAATTCCTTAACAAGAACCCCATGAGCCTGCCGATCGACCTCGCCGGCAAGCGCGGCCGCCGCGCGCGCTTCGCACGCCGCAGGACAGCCAAGCGACGACGGCAACCTGGACCGGTTGTAGGGTTTAGGGTTTAGGGTTTAGGGTGAACTGTATCCTACTTGTCGGGTATCATGGGGAACTAAAGGTTAACCTTTTTGGGTATATAGGGATTTTCTAGGGACTATACTACCCAAACAAGGTTGAAGGTTACCTACCCTACTACTAGGATAAGCCTCTTAACCGACCCTCTTTCCGGGCTTGGACCCCCGAACTAAACACCTCAATCACTCAACCCAGGTCCTCCACCACCAATCTCTTAACACCAAGCCAGACCAGCAGGCCCTCCTTGTACCCTCAAATAGGGGTATAGGGTCCCAAATAAGGGGCATTTAGGGCCTAATAGAGGGTAGATGAAGGGTCTAGGCACACTCTAAGCCCCAAAACAGTGCAAGTGACTATTTGGGCTCCTATCTTATAAACCCCTATTATAGATCCCTTCTAGATCCCTTTAAAGGACCCTTCTAGTCTAGAAGTCCAGCTACATTGGGCTGCTATATCGTACCAGGGGTTTGCAACATTTGTATGTAGGGCCGGAGAACGCTACTGACTTCACGCACCCTCGAGCCCAAACGCGACTGTAAAAGCCTGGGTATTTACCAACATTATTCCTTCGGGAGTTCCTAAACCCTAAACCCTAAACCCCCAAGACCCCAAAACCCTAGACCCTAAACCCCCCAAACCCTATTCCCGGCGCTAGAGCCCCAAAAGCCCTACAACCCCCAAAACCCTGAACCCCTAAAACGCAAAGCTTCAGATCTTCGACTCTGAACCAATCCTACTTGGAGGCCCAGGGGACTTAGTAAATAGGTTATAAGTACCTTAAGCCGGAAAAACATAACTTTTTAGGGTCCCTTATTATGATTTCCTTACATAAGTCCTTAAGAGGTAGGTAATTCCGGCTTAAGGTAGTGTTATAATTGGGGCAACTCCAATTAGGGTCTTTATAACCCTACTTATAACCTACTTACTAAGTCCCCTGGGCCTCTAAGCAAGAAAACCACCTTGGCCTGACATGAGGCCTTCAGGGAGCCTCTGCCCCAAGAATGCAAATGGCCCAATGTAGGTGGTCTTTATGGACTTTCGACCCCAAGGTAGGTACTAGTTTTGCACTGGGAGCCTAAGGGTCATGGTAAAACGCTTGAAGATGTAAACCCTGCATTACCTTAATGATCCTAAACTATGGGAATTATGGTATGCTCCTTGTTTGGCGTAATGCAGGATTTATATCATCAACCGAAGGGACACCTTAAACTGCAGCAGTGCTCCAAGAAGAGACCCGCCTCCGGTACGGAAGGCTCGCAGAGGAGCCATCCAAGGCAGCAAACTACGGGGGCTGAATTTAGGGTCTACCGAAAGGCCCCAAAGCAGTACTTCCTAGACCCTCCATCTACCCTCTTTTAGACCCGAAATGCCCCTTATTTGGGACCATATACCCCTGTTTGAAGGTACTGGTTGGAACTCTTAAAAGTAGGTTTTACAGGGTTCCCATAAGGCTTTTCTGGTCCGGCTGCCGGGGACTTTTATTGAGCCTCCTCTATAGCTAGGGCGCAAAGACCCATGATGCAGCAGGTCTTCTGCAGCTGGGGTTGAGGGTTTAGGGTTGAGCTAGGCTTAAGATGCAGACTAGGGTGCGATTGAAGATTCTGTTTCGTGGTTTTGGGTTGGGTGATTCCCAAGCCTGGGTTCTAGGGTTTGGCGGGTTCGGAGTCCTTTTACAAGAACTTTTAAGAGCATCATGTTCTTTGAAAGCTCCTATAATGGCACCGTGAGGCCTGAGGGTATGGGAGATAGGGCTTTAGGGCTTTTAAGGTTTAGGGCTTAGGGTTTAGGGCCCAGGGATGGGGGTTACTGGTAAAAGCATAAGGTGTAGGCTGTACGCAGAGGTGTGGAGGACTTAGGACTTAAGGCTTGCGGATTGGGGTGGCGATCTGGGATGTATCCTTACGGTTTACAAAAACACCAAACCTTTTTAGAATGACAACGTTAAACTTAAACGAACTCTTAAGGACGCTTGAGCCCGAATGTCAGGCCACCATCAAACACGATCAACTTTTCAGGGCGTGGTGTTTTACGGTTTAGGGTTCGGGTTAGGGCACCTTCCGACGATTCTGAGAAAGAGCGAATTGCAGAACATAGA